CAACAGACACACACACACACACACACACACACACAAGAAAAAAAGGTTGGCTGTTAGTGCTACAAGCCATTTGCCTCCCCTCTAGTCAGCAGTTTAAAATTGGTGACAGTGGCAGGTAGCCTTAGTAGTTTTGCCATGTCAAAGACAGGTTTGGTAGCAATATTTCAATTATTTGTACGGTTGAAAAAATTGAAATTAGTAATAATCAGAAACACTAAGTTCAGTTAGTTGATTATTTTCATGACAATTGATATAACTGGAATTTTGATTAATCATTTAGTAGGTGACATTAATTGACGTAATTGCTGCTCATAGATTATTGATTATATAGTCCAGCTGTATGTTATAATACTGTATGTTGTGGAATTTACCGTTTTTAGCTATGCTTTCTAAACAAATAATAATTAAGAAATGCTAAAAATATTGTATTAAGTAGTTAAGCCACCAAATTTAGGAAAGTTGGAATAATGAAAAATAGTCATAATCTGAAATTCTAAATTAGATTGATTACTTTCATGACAAACGATGTAATTGGAATGTCAAATTAATTGATTATTTGAATAATTGAAACTCTAATAATTAAAAATATCTTTGATCAACCGATTGGATGTGATAATAACCTGTGTAATATCAGCTTATAGATAATTGATTATGTTGATTAGTCGATTGACTCACCATGCTCCAGTTTGCAATATTTGCTGGGAAGTGATAGCTAATGTACTTGAATTCCTATAATTTTTTGAATTACTTTCTCTAAAAAGAGGAATTCAAATCCTGGAGAGATCTGATGTATATTAAGATTTTTATTTAATAATTTAATAGTTACTATAGGTATGTTACTTTAACCCTTGGTTTTGTAACTTGCTTTTCATATATTTTTGATGAAGTTAAAAGCTTTCAATGCAATTAGATAAATAGTTATAGATTTTGAGAATAATATGTTTGAAACCTGGAAAATTAAACATCTACAAACTCATTTTTAGCTCTACAGACAGTCTGGTGTTTTGAAAAATATAGCATTATTTCGGTAAGTTTAATAAATATCATGATAGAGTTTGTATATTTCAAAATGATTAAAATGTACACCGGTATTAAATGTAGGTGAGCGACGTCTAGAAGCTGGAGCCATGGTACTAGGTGACAGAGGTGTTGTCTGTATTGATGAGTTTGATAAGATGTCAGACATTGATAGAACTGCCATCCACGAGGTTATGGAACAGGGTAGAGTGACTATTGTAAAGGCAGGAATCCATGCTAAGCTTAATGCTCGATGTAGTGTTCTTGCTGCAGCTAATCCTGTATATGGAAGGGTAAGTTCTGCTTTTAATTTCTAATTTAGTTTCTCATAAGATTTTTAATTTGAGTACATACATTGGTACAAGCTTTACTTAACTCTTTCAACACAGGCTCAGTCCCTGGGACTGACCTCATAACAATTGTGCGCTTGTTATAGTTTTCATGCTATTTTTAACTTTTAAATTAGTAAGCATGTGTTAACGAAATTTGGCAGGTTATCAGTAAACATTACAATGCTTTCATATGCAAAAATATCAATTTTTTTTTATTCAATCTTAAGGTTT